GCATAGTCTAAACACTTATTTGGGTGGTTCACCTGCAATAATTCTGAAATGCTGAATACTAATGTGACAAACTAAGAATATTTGTGCTGTTTTTGTTGCAGGAGCGGGCTGTCAGCAGTGTCCAGCTATACCTCTTCTCTTCTCCAAGAGGCTTCAGGATTTTACCAGTGTAAGCTTTAATTAATGTTAAATGTTGATTTGCTGTCAAGCTAAGTGCTGCTGCGTTAAAGATACAGTATTTGTTTTTTAAAATAGAAGTTTTTATCTTTTTGTTGTGGGATAATTTCCTGCTGCAGGTTCTTGAGGCATCTTCTGTATGTGGGTTAGTGAAATGAGAATAATTTTCTGCATTTATAGTTGGAAATGTTTCTGCCTTAGAAAGTTGGGCTGCACCACCTCACGTACAATAAGATGGAGCCACATTTATCCTGTGGCAAATGTTGGCTATTATATGTAGGCTACTGAAGCTGCTGGAGCTTGTAAAGTTTGGTAAAATGAAGCAGTAAATACTTGAGTAATTAAGTTCCAACCAAAATGAAAAAACTTTTTTCTTTCTCAGAGCTAACTTCACTGCTCTTCTTCCTCAGGACTGTGTGCATGTAGTTGGGTCACATTTGATTGACAGTAGCCTTGCATTTTAGGAAAGCAAACCCAAAAAATGGCCAAAGCCCTTAATGGTAGGCCCTATAGCACTTTTCCCCCCATTTCAGACCTGTCAATGCAACAACAGACAAAACACCTAAAGATACATTTAGGTGAAATAAAGTGTTCATGGGGGATGTCATCACTTCAGTGAAAAGCTGATTGAGACAAATTACCTCATTTTTCCATATCCTGCTTTCAAGCAAGTCAGCAGTGTCAACCCGTTGTGTGTTCTTGTAGCATTCATGTCGTATTGGAATTCATAATTTTTTAAGTTCTTATGTTTTAGAATATGTTGAGAGTTTTCAGGAGCTCTGGAAAAAGTATGGACCCAGATATAATACAGCATGCTTTTTTAATAAGATCCGATAAAGTGGGTGTTGTCTTGTATTCGAGTAGGACAGTTAGCCTATGTTCACCTCCAGATAGGCCATTTTGATTGGAGAGTCACATAACTACAGTCCTTGCAGTTTTGAATTGTGGTTTATTGCCTTATTGCTGCTAGAGAGTATTTTCACATCTGTTTACAAAGGAGTTATTGAGTTCTAAAATGTTTAATTAGCCCAGGTTAGCTAACAGTCGCTAACACCACAGAGAAGGTGACCATACAGACGTCTGACCAAAAGAAATGTTAAGTGTCTGTGAGCTGTGAAGCTGCTACGTTGTTCTGGTAGGGTGAGAAATTAGCAATTTAAATTGATGAACTGGTTTATTCAGCTTATTCATTTTCTGAGCATTGTTTTTTTTCTTCTTGCTAAGGTCTGACTTTATTATGGGAAAGTGTTTTCATTTGTGTTGTCATGATAGTGGACCAAAATTATATGAGGATGGATCATTTTCTGCATTTGTGCTTTTCCTACCATATGTCAAAATATGTCTAAAAGACCTGTCTCTTAATTTTAAATTGCCACTTCCTGTCTGTCCACCTAAGGACACTTAGACCACACACAGAAGAAGACCATCCTTTGATGTCTTTAAACCAGTGGTAAACAGGAGTTGCAGCGTTTAGGCAAAAGGGATTTTGTTTTCTCTAAGAGCTTGCTATCCACCTGCAGAGAGGCTTTCCACAGTGCAGCTCCCTCTGTCGCTCAGCCTTGAATAACAGAGGACAAATAACCCAATCAGTGTCCACCAGTTCAGTGTTCCTTGGCCACCCTTGGTGTCTGTCAGGGTTGCAGAGATAATTGTGAGAAATCAGATTTGCTCTTGTAGAATATCCGCTGTTTATCATTTAAGCCCCTATCTCTTGCACCCCCACCTGATACCTGTACTCATCCCTCTGTGTCTCAGTATGGGAGCGATAAATGCCCCCTCCCGTTGTCTCATTTACCTACCGTGGTGCCACCAAACTTACACAAGCATCACTTCTGATTGAACAAGCTGTTGCATTTTTACCTGCACACTTGTATAGTTGTGCCATGAACCTGTGGCTTTTGGTTTGATTGACAAAAATAACCACATTTCATGACAATTGCTTAGTTGCACTTTGTGGAACAGCTAGACAAATAAATGTGCTGCAGAAAATCTAGGACTGTGCCACATGTCGTGCACAGTCACTTCAATGGTGATGTGACCAGCATGCAGGATTGTCTGAGAGCTCTGGCCTCTTTGTGTCTCAGTGGGCATAGAATGTTTATATGCTCTGTGTGAGCTCAGAAAATATGGACTAACAAGTTTACAGCATCCGTGTCATCCATTAAATAAATCTTTACTTTCTGATTTGTGTCAAGGAGACAAATGACAGGAAATTTTAGAGTGAGTATGTAGATTTTTTTCTTTCTTTTGCGTATGAACAAGAGAAATTTGAAAGTATATTTCACTGAATAAAAAGGCTGTGTGTTCAAAGGCGCACTCTTTGCTTGTAGGTCTGCTGTGTGTTAGTGAAAACTGTAGTGTCTTTTTAAAACTCTCAGGGGCTCAAGAAGTCGGTCGTATGGATATGCAGCAACTTGGGAAATGCATAACATACATCTCTAATGTATTTATTCAGATTAATTTGAATATTTTAGCTACATTTTTGCAACACAGAAACATTGCTGCATGCCAATTAATACCAATTACCACTTAAGCAATTCTGTTGAATAATACATACAAAATTCATCCTATTATATGGACATGCTAGCACAGTGTTGTGGTCACATGCAGTGTGTCGCTTATCTGTTTAAGGTGAGGATATAAGGAAGGTGTTTCTGGTAACAAACCCCTCCCAACACTGCTATACGCTTTCACTTGCCTTGCCCCCATCTCTACAATGCCAGTTTTCAGAAAAGCCGTTAATATTTTATGTGATTATGGGCCTTCATAAGCAAATTTTAGTCCCCACTAAGTTGAGCCAACGCATGATTAATTTAGTATTTATACCCCGACAACCCTTTAAACAACGCAGGGCCCCTGGCCACAAAGCAAAGCACAGTCTGAAACAAAACTAGCAGCCTCTAAATCATAATCAGCATAGTCATTCAGGATCATTTGAGTTTGGGGACACATTTTTTTTCTGCAACACCAGCAGCAGTTTTTGGTGTGTGAT